TCCGCAACCCTTTCATGGAAACCTGTTGAGAGGAATCCTTCCTGTTTGTTCGTAACATTAAGTTTATCACATTCTTTTATCACAGTGACCCAAAAAACAAGTCCTTGATTAGAAACCCCTCACAGTCTGACATGTTGTTAGTATAACAACTAAACCGCCTTAAGAAGAGAAGTATAAGCAAAAAGTTAAGAAGATTTAAAATTAAGTTTATTAAGAAAGAAATGCTAATTCAAATAGGCTAAGCTAGCACTTATTTAGGAAATGCTAAGCTAAAGAGGCTAATAATAAAGCATTTTACTAAGGAAATAGAAGAGAAGTAGAGACGTTAGTATAGGCGGGAGTAAGAGAAGCTCTAGCATGCCCTAGCTATCTAAGGAAGCTACGTCTCGTAGCATTACACTTAAAGAACAGGGAATTCTTGTTAGTTAGCGATCTATCTAAACAAGAGACTATATTAGTTGGTAAGTTTATCTAAGTATTGTTCCCTATATAAGGCAATAGTATTATAGTAAAGAAGTCACTTATTAGTTAGTAAGTTTATCTAAATAAGTGACTTTACTATTAGCAATACAACTTCTATAGAAGAAGTTACCCTAATAATTGTAACGATGTTACAACTTCGCCAAGTATTGAGCCAATCCCAGAGCCGGATCGGAGGAAGTACCTGCCGCCCTCTATCAGCTATTCGCCCGAGGTCGGATCCGAATTCGGACCTGACTAGGATAGGTATATATTGAGACACTCCCTGTAGCTAGCTCTGTAGACTTTTGATATCCTTTCGTACAAGGCCTATAGGTGGCTCTTCGAATCTAGGCCATTTGGATCCCACGCACTCCCATATGCCTCTGAGTGATCCTACGTCCGATACAGATCCGTCTAGTCTTACCTGTGCCGTTACACCAATCAGCGAAGAAAATGTTGCAGAGGAAGTTTATTCCCAGACAGGAGTAAAGCCGCGAACCTGCAAGCAATCTAGACACGGCCCAGACAGGTTTGGCACGATGACCTGGATAATATCCTTTGCCGAACGAGTACGACCATTCCGGATTTTTGGAACAAGTGAATGGGCAAAAGAGATAAAGAAAAACCCGCCAGTGGCCATCCACAACCCGGGATGTCAGGGTTACTGCAACACGTCTAGGTGCACACGTGCAGCACGCTGCGACAACTGCGGCCAGCTGGCAGCAGGGCATACCGGGCCCATAGGTACAGGTTGTACGCAGCGAGCCCGCTGTGCTAACTGCCATGGACCACACGCCGTGACGGATAAAAACTGTCCAGCGAAACCATACTACTACCAAGGCAAGCTTATCCGGCTAACAAGCAAGCAGCTGCAGAGTGTACGCAGAGCTGGACATCGTGCCTACCAAAGAACCGGCCAGAACCAGGACAAAGGAGACACGGCTGCCGAACCTATTGTCATCGCAGAAGAACAGCTAAGCCAAAACAGTCCACTTGCGCTCCAGCAGCCGCCACTGCGAGCTACGCAATCAAGACAAGCAAAAAGAGCCCAACAAGAAGAGACAATAATAGGAACGGATACCGCTACAGCCGCAATCGCGCCTATAGACACTGATACAATTATAGTCACAACTACAGCATCCCAGAACCCTCAGAGCCGTCGCCCACGCCGTGCTGCAGCCCCAAGAGAGAGTCTAAGTCTAGCAGCACTCTCAACAAGAAGCCTAAGGACAGAGCAGACAGTGTCTACACCGACAGAAGCCATGATACAGGCTGGCCTATCCTCTACCATAGAAGATACAGAAATGAGTGAAGACGCACTGCAATGGTAGGACGTCAACCGATACGATACAACGGGCAGCACTGCCCGGGCTGGAAGCAGCTACGAATAGCATGGGCGAACGTAGGCAAAGCCTCAGAATGCCACGACACTATACTGTGCCGCGCCTCAGATGAAAACATCGACGTGATATGCATCCAGGAGCCATGGACACTACCAGGAACCGTAACTAAAAACCATCCAGGGTACCACATGCACGCGCCTGTGATATCATGGGATAGCAAGGAGGAACGTGAGAACGAAAGACCACGGGTGCTTACCTACACCCGCAAGGGCGTTAATTTAAGGGCTAAAGTGCTACCTAGAGTCACGCGAGACATACTCTGGACAGAAGTGAACGGATACGCTATACTTAACGTGTATCAGAACCGAGAGGCACCAGAACCAGCAGTCACCTACATACAGGAACTGACACCACCAAGCAGATGCGTTATTGGAGGGGATATGAATGCAAGGCACGAGAGTTTCGAACCTGGCTCGGTGACCACGGGAGGCGGGTCAGAGCTCGCACGCTGGGCCCAGACTCACGCCATGGACTTCATCGGGCAGCCAGGAGTGCCAACTCATCGAGCTGGCCACGTAATAGACCTAACATTCTCAAACATTCCCTTTGCCGACACAGTGATACGGCTGGACATGCACTCTGGCTCAGACCACGCAACACAGGTCACGACATTACCAACCCGAGGACTAGCAGCAGAAGATTCAAAGAAGCACAAAGTACTAGAGAGACACCTAGAGAGGTTCACAAAACTAGTAGGCCTAAATATCACAGGTATTAGGGATCCGGCAAGAGCCAGCAACCAAAGCCAACTACAAACAATAATCCAGGACCTTACACAAGCGATAGAAGAGGCAATCCAGACAGCAGGGGTTAGAGAGAGGGAACAAATCCAAGTGGCGCCATGGTGGACGACAGAATGCCAGACAGCGTACCGTCGGCATCTGCGAGACCATACGGGAATAGGAACTCCACCAACAGAGGCAACCAGAGAGTTCCTAAAGACAGTGCGCCGAACAAAGAAGGCCTACTGGCGTGACAGGATAGACGGCATCAAGACAGATTCAGACCTCTACAGCCTGGCCAGATGGCATAAGCTGTTGCCAAACCAACAAGACTCCCCACTAGTAGTAAATGGTGAAACCATCACAGATACAGCAGAGAAGGCTGAGACTTTACGCAGAGAACTGCTAGACCGGTTCAACAACGCAGATGATCTGCCAGCACCACCAGGAGCAGAGAACTATACTCAAACCCCCCTACCGTGGGACACTAAGGTATCGACGGAAGAAGCAGAGCGCTATGCTATTGGCGTAGCTAGCACATCGCCAGGTGCGGACGGAATAACGGTACGGCTACTAAAGGCGTGCTGGGCAGATATCAGGAACCTCGTTCGCGCAATATATCAGAGATGCCTAGAGCTAGAGTTCTACCCAGGCTGCTGGCGCGTGGCAGAAGTAACAATGATACCAAAAGCCGGAAAGAAAGACCGTACGTCAGCACGGTCAATGCGGCCCATAGCCCTACTCTCATGCATTGGCAAGGGGTTAGAACGCCTAGTGGCAAGAAGAATCGCTATAACAGCAATGACGCACGATGTCATCAGCCCACAGCACGTAGGAGCTGTCCCAAAGCGGTCAGCTATGGACATTGTAGCGGCATTCACGCACGACGTAGAACAGGCTTTGGCAGTAGGCAAACGCGTTACTATGGTCACGATGGATGTGCAGGGAGCATTCGACGCGCTGCTCAAGAACCGGTTGCTACACCGGATGGCTCAGCAGGGCTGGCCACCAGCCTGTGTCCGGTTTATTGACTCTTTCCTATCAGAGCGCTATGTACAGGTGCGGCTAGGCAACGAGATCACACCACGCCACCTAGTAGCTTGCGGCACACCACAAGGATCTCCGCTATCGCCAGTTCTCTTCACCCTTTATCTAGCCGAGCTTCTGAATCAGGACAGAACGCTACGCTTCGGATACGCGGATGACATTAATATCTACAGAGCGTCAAAAACCCTAGACGAAAATGTCCAGTTACTAGCAGAAGATATACAGGCAATCAACCAGTGGGGTGCACAGAATAAGGTTACCTTTGCCCCAGAGAAGCTAGAAGCGATCCACATCACCCGCCAGCAAGACAGCTACTCCCCAAGCATACCTTTACCCGACGCAGCAACGCTAAAACCAATTGCGCCAGCTACAGACAGATCGCAGACAGCACTACGATGGCTCGGAGTGTGGTTTGACCGCCAGCTTAGCTTTAAGCACCACGTCGCCTATAGAGCAGCAGCCACCAAGAAGCTTGCTAGTCACCTAAGAGGCCTTGCGAACACAGCTTATGGCCCGCCCCCAGACGCTATGCGAAAATTAGTAACAACATGTGTATTACCTTCACTACTGTACGGAACAGAGGCCTGGTACGAAGGACGAACAAGAAACCCGAGATCAAGGAGGAAAGACAACCCTATCTCTGTCAGCACAAGAGTCGGACAACATATTACAGCTATCCAAACCATACTCATACAGGCTGTAAGAGCAGTACTGCCAGTATATAAAACAACACCCCTCCCAATTCTCTTCAGAGAAGCTGGGATACCGTCAGCAGAAGTCGCGCT